CCAAATCCCTCCATGCCCTAATCTCTAAAATTCATGAAGATGTTACCTTGCACAGAAACAAAACACTGCTGATGTTACTAAATGAAGGCTCTTGAGATGGGAAGATTATTCGGGATTATTCAGGTAGCCCCAATGTAATCAAGGGGTCCTTCCACAGCAAGAGTCAAAGGCAGAAAAAGGAAATGGGATGAGGAAAGCAGAGGTTGAATTGCTGCACTCCGGGCATGGAGGAAGGAACTAAAACCCAAGGAAGACCGGTAACCTGCAGACGCTGGAAAAGAGAGGAAAATGGATTCTCTCCTTAAGCTCAAGAAGGAATCCAGCGCTTCTAGTACAGCCTTCAGGTGCTGAGCCACGTGCACAGTCACCATCCTACATGTGATACGCAGAGAGCGCCTCGCTGGAGAGGAGAAGGAAGGTACAGCTACATCAGCTAAAAGAAGTCAGGCGTAGAAAGCACTCCCTGTTTTAAATATTGACTAGAAGACCATTTTAGAATTCTGGCATCCAGAACTGTAAGAGAATAGATGCTGTTGCTTTAAGCGATTAGGTTTGTGGTAATTTGTTACAGCAGCGATAGAAAACTAATGCATATGGCCTTAAAATATTCCTGCTTTCAATATAAAATGCAACCATTTTAAAAGTGAAACTGAGTTTTACTATAAACAATCATGTTTACATTTATAGTAAAAGTTCTATAGTACACCCCCGAAAAAGAGCATTTTAGAGTTTAACATCCCAGGATTTAAATTATAGCTCTGCCACTTTCTAGCTCTAGTCAAAACCTTTAGCATCTCTGAATTTCAGTTTGCTCATGTATAAAATAAGGATAATACTATCATCAATCTTAGGTTGTGCACAAGAAAGAAATTAGTTAATATCTGTAAAGCATTGAGCATGGGGGTTAGTAAATGCAATGTTGACGGAAGGCACATCCAGGGCATAAATGAGGACCGTGCATGGCCTCCGGAATTACCAAGAGGCCATTCAGCTCCACAAATTACTGCCCTGTGGGGATGAGGGCCCAGGTTGCCAGATGGTCCAGCTTGTCTAAAGAGCCTACAAATACAATTTCAATTTTAAGAGTTCTTGATTTTTAAATATTGAGGGTTTTAATGTTTCAATATTCCCTCTTTCAAGTCACTGAGTAAAAAAAAAAATGTATTTTTGTCAAATGTATGCCACAAGATCATTTTATCACCTCTCACCAGCCACATTCAATACCTGTGTTGTTCATATTTATAAATATTGACATCAGCCATTCAGGCTGCCCTCTTGGGGTCAGGTGCTCGGCTGCACGCACATTCAGTAACCAATCAGTAACACAAAGTTCTGAATCTGGCACCGTTTTCATTTATCCTCCTACTCTTTCCTGCCTCTTTACTCATGACCCTCAATCCCAATATTGGGTTTGTAAACAGGTTAACTACAAACGGGGTAGCTCTCTGAGCCTTCTGTGCCAAATAGCTTCCCACAGCTAAAACCTTTGGCTTCCAAGCCTGGCATAATTCCAGGTCTATGGGGTGCCCCAGGCCTCACCCAGGCCCCCATCATCTCTCCAAAGTGACCCACGCTGCATCTCAGCCAACTTTCAGTATGGACGGCGATCTAGAAAGCAAAAGACTGCTCTAGAACGAACGACTGCTCTATAAAAACAAAGCCCATATGTTCAGGAAGTGAGGTGGGGAGGGAATTCCAAATTGTTTAAATGGGAAGCCACTCACTCTTCAGTTCTTAGCAGGAAGAATCAGCACATGGAATTTAACTTGTCTCACGTGGAATAGAAAAGTAACCAGACCATCTACTGGAATTTAATTTTCAAAAATCAGCAAATGCTTCCCTATGCAAGACCAGCCGGTTTGACTGGCAGGCATGGGAAGGATATAGGGCTAAATTTAGTACAGTAATTCACTCCCCATAGCTGTCCCTGCTGTTAATCAGCCAGAGGATAAGGTGGTGAGGTGGGATATAGAAACAAACAAAAATAAATGCATCACTTTTTGTTGTTGTTGTTGTTGTACTTTTTGGCCTGGGCCGGGTTTGAACCCACCATCTCCAGTATATGGGGCTGGCGCCCTACTTTTTGGAGCCACAGGCACCACCCTAAAATGCATCACTTTTTGATAGAACTACTCTAGCATATTTCACTGCTTCATCCAAACAAAGTGCCTTATATGGTAAGCAATTAGAATAAACAAATGAAAGTATTCTTTCAAAAGGATATGTAATATGATGAGGCAAAAGAATAAGAAGTGAATAAACTGGACGTGGAAAGTTTCTACAAACGTAGTCTAGAAGCAAAAAAACTACAAGGTGCTTCCTGGTTTGAAATAATGAAAACGAATTCTGAGCCATGCAGGTTTGGCAAGGTGCAGAGTGGTTATCAGGCTCCCTTCAGTGGCAGGGGCTCCTCATAAGAAAACTTACAGATAACCGGAACTGAAGAGCCATTCACGGGCCGGAGGCAGCCAAGGGGCTGATTAGCTCACTCATAGTGACAGCGGCTTCATTTCTCATGATGACTGTATTTTCTCTGCGTATCTATCCTAGACCGTTTGCACTCCCAGCTACTCAGTTCCCAGTCCAAATTCCAGAGAGAGTAGTCTGTCTGACTTAGATAACTACCATTGTTCTGTTTGGGCAGAGCCCTCACAGCGTCTCAGGGTCACCAGCCAGCTGTGGACAGGCGGCCCCCTTGGGGTCAGGTGCTCGGCTGCGTGCACAGTCAGTAACCAGCCCTACGTTCAGTGCACAGAGGTTGCCTCGTGAAGAGAAAGAGGACGATAGAGCTATGTCAGCTAAAAGAAGCTAAGCAGAGACAACACACCCTGTTTTAAACATCAAATTGAAGACTAGACTGACTGATAAAATTACTGTTATTACCTGTTTTAGAAACTAAAACTTAAGAGACTCTAACCAATGGGATAGGGTGGGTTTTTTTCTTTAAAATGCCAAATTTTTTTGTAATTTGCATGATTTGAATATATTTGAATAATTCCATTAAACCCTGTGCTTTTAGGCTTCTTTCTGCCAAATATAGCTGACTTGTGGGAATGTGCGTTATACTTCTCTTGTCCCTGAGACTCTGTTAGGTAAATGGAAGCTCATTCCCCATGTGTCAATGCCAAACAGACCTGAAAGAGTTAAGAGATCTTTTTAAAAAAGAAAAAGAAGATGCAATTTACCCTAGTCTGGCTGGTGGAACATTTTGAGTTTATATTGCATTTTTCTCAAGTGGAGTCTTTGTCTAATCCTCATAGAAATCCCCAGAACAAAAATATTTTTCATTTTATAGATGAGGAAACTGTCATAGAAAAGTGACTTATCCAGCATCACCGAAAGAATTAGTGATGTAAGAATCACAGCTCTCTATTCAGTACCCAGCACTAATAACTCACCGCATTCCTTAATATCTATACATAAAATGTATTTTCTAGATGAATTATTCTCAATAAAAATGTCCCTAAAACCAGGCATGGCATTGAGAGAGGACAGGATTCTCCCATCCAGACATAACACTAAAGCTATCTTGGAGAGATTCGTATCCTTTTTTGTCTGTTGATTTGTTCATTCCTTTACGTGGGATGATGTATCCTAAAGTCAGAATCTCCCTAACCCTAACGACACCTTAAGGACTTCCCAGCACTTCAAGGCTTATCTGGAGGACATCTGAGGTCTGACCCTATGCAAGGCCCCCTTTCTCCCTGCCTCAGTGCAGCCTCCTACAGGGCAGGCTTAACCCAACAGGAGAGACTCCTGAACACTTCCAGCCACAGGGGCCTTCCTTACTTCACAAAGCAATGCGTTTTGCTGTTAGACAAGTTCTTAGAATGTTTAGGGATTTGTTTGTTTTATAAATTCCATCGATGGGTCTTCTTCTGCCTTCTAGAATATATGAAATAAATCTATTTTCTATATAACAACTCTTCAAAGAATTTGAAATAGCTATTAGGTCACTAGTTGATATTCAATACTTTGGAAAAAAAAAAAAAAAGAGCATAAATTCTTTAAACCATTCCTCATAAGGGATGTCTTCCAAAGGTCTGATAGACTCTGTGTCTTTCTCCTGTGAATCTTTTACGGATGGCGCATATACTCCCTAATACAAAACAGGCATTTTCTATTCTTGTGGGTGAATTTTAAGTCGCTATTTCAGATTCTTTTTTATGCACATTGCTGTGATGTTTGTCAACTTTCTCTGTATTATATGACAATCTACAAAGACATAATAAAATTTCAAGTGTGATTGAAGTATTGTAGTCAAAACTATTCTAAGTGCATTGTACAATCCAGCAACTATGAAATTAATCACAAGCTGAGTCAAAAAGACAATTTGGGATGCCAGAAAATAATCATTAATCCTACATGTCTTAAAACTGGGCTATTCATTACTTTAACTTCAAATGTTGATTCATTGAGATGCAAATAATAGATTCATGTGTGCGTCTGATCAGAGTGCCCTGAATTAGCCTTTATATTTCATACAACGTCTAGCTACTTAGGTACTTAGGCTCCTAATGAAAGGAAATTCACTTTTGAGACAATACCCACATGTACTTGGTGTCTTAAGAGTTAGAAATTCAACCAAATGACATCATCACCCGCACCAAACAGTCCAAACAATGAGAGCATTGTCGAGTCTTCTTTTTATTCGCATCCAACACCCATGTGCAAGCCAATCGAGCACCTTTTTATTTACAACCTTATTTCCATGTTAGGTTCATTCTTTGAATCCCTCCTCTCCCAACATTTATTTAATGTCAACTGATAAAATGTGGAAGGTTAATGGGTTTCCACATCACTTATTTCCTCACTTGAAGAGAGAAGCAGATGTTTCACACCTGCTTGGGTCTCCATGATGCTGCTGCAGGGGCCAAGCAGACTGGAAGTGTATTGCCCAGGCCCAGTGGGAGCTGCTGCCAGGCTGGAGACAGAATCAGCTGGCCGGGTGGAGGGCCAACTCAATAGCACTTCGTTTTGCACATTCAATAAAAGCAGCCATGTCAGAACACTTTGATTCCAGATTTCACTATCAGCCGCAGGCACACATTCCAGGGCAGAGTGTGATCAAGTGTACTGATGAGATCTGGCAATTGCTATACAACGTGCAAAGAGCACAGTTGGCAGAGAGACGTACACTATTCATTTGGGCAGCTGTGAAAGAAAGAATCCTGCTGTCCACGTGTGAAGTTGGGAAGAAGTATAATGTGCCGTTGACAAAAACTTCCCCCAGACGCCAGAGCAAGATTTGCCTTGTATTTTAGACTTTTCTTTCGTGAGGAGGATGATGCAAACACTCTGACCATCTGTTTCCACAAACAAGTAACACGCTGCATGGCTATGAAGACACCCACACTGAACTATAGTTGACAGGGATCCTTTTGTTTTAAGTCTTCAAGGATTTTTTTTTTTTAAGTTGCTCTACTTTGAATCTAAAATAGGCAATAATGGTTTCTCATCTTCATCAATAAACTCATTAATAAGGATTTATTTTATAATTAAGTGCTTATCCACAAATCAAAGTAGGCTGAAATTAATTTATACATACCCTAGCCTTGTAACAGAGGCAGTGTCATTTTAGAAGGGCTCAAAATGTCTAGGGAAGACATAGAAAGGGGCTAAGATCTACTGAGGGTTGATTTAGTCTGAATGTTGCAATGACCAAAAGAAAATCCTTATCAGAATCGAAGAAAGGAACGATTGCAACGCAGTAGGTCATTTAATTGATACAAGCAGAAAAGTAAGACTGCCAATGCAATGCGTGTGATGTAGTTTTAATGAGGATGGAGCAGGTGTCTGATGCAGCTTACATCCACGGCTTTGTAAGAAATAGTCAATAAAAGGCTCTGAAGAAATAATGTTTCACAGATTCTGCTTGTTCTATATTCAGGATTTTTCCAGATTTTTTTTACTCATATTGCATGCTCAATTTCAATCCTAATTTACTTTTAGGGTAGGTATTCTTAGAAAGATATATGAACATAATCTCTTGGATGGAGCTCTTTTGAGGAGCCCATAATAGCTCTAGATATTCTCCATGTGAAAAAAGGTATAAACAACATATGATCTTAAGGATTTCAATCCATAAATGCACTAGATTTCCGTGGTCTGAGGTTAAGAGCTTTACTTAAAATATATTAATGGCAATTGTCCCTGTGTTTGTGGATCTATGAAAGGGATCAGGCTGCTAGTTTCTTACACAGCAATACAATAGGAAAATAGCTTGATCCACATGTAGGGAGGACAGATTCTTCCTTTAAAAAAAAAATACTAAGTTTCACTCTGTCACCCTGGGTACAGTGCTCTGGCATCATAGCTCACAGTAACCTCAAATTCTTACAGCAACCTCAAACTTCTGGGTTCAAGCCATCATCTTGCTTCAGCCTCTGAATAGCTGGGACCACAAGCATGCACCACCATACCCAGCTATTTTTTTTTTTTTTTTTTTTTTTGTAGAGACAGAGTCTCACTTTGTCACCCTCAGTAGAGTACTATGGTGTCACAGCTCACAGCAACCTCCAACTTTTGGAGGCAATTCTCTTGCCTCAGCCTCCCAAGTAGCTGGGACTATGGGCACCAGCCACAACACCTGGCTATTTTTTTGTTGCAGTTTGGCCAGGACTGGATTTGAACCCACCAGCCTTAGTATATGGGACCTGCGCCCTACTCACTGAGCCATAGGCACTGCCCTATTGGGGGGTCTTGCTTCTTGCTTGGGTTGGTCTTGAACTCCTATATTCAAGCAATCTACCCAGCTCAGTCTCCCAGGGGGCTAGGATTATAGTTGTGAGCCACCACACCCCACAGATTTTCTCTCTTTTTATCAAAAGGCAGTTAATACAAAATAATATATTGAAAGTATTATTTTTTAATAATCAAAACAAATTGCTGGGCACGGCTCACAACTATAATCCTAACATTCTGGGTAGCCAAGGCAGGTAGATTGTCTGAGCTCAGTAGTTGGAGACCAGCGCCTGAACAAGAGCTAGACCCTGGCTCTAAAAATAGCTGGGTGTTTTGATGGGCATCTGTAGTCCCAGCTACTCAGGAGGCTGAAGCAAGAGAATCACTTGAGCCCAAGAGTTTGAGGTTGCTGTGAGCTGCAGCATCAAGGCACTCTACCGAGGGCAACAAAGTGAGAAGAAAGAGAAAGAAAGAAAAAAAAAGAAAGAAAAGAAAAGAAAAGAAAAGAAAGGAAGGAAGGAAGGAAAGAGAAAGAAAAAAAGTAAAAATCTTTTAAAAAGTGTTTTCCCTCTGAAATCTTTTGGATACTATCAAACTCATTAGTGTACCAATGTGCCCGAGTAGAAAGACCTCTGTCCTACAACTTTCAGTGAGATTCCATATACAGACACAGCAGTGTTTCACCTGGAGCAGAGGCCTGACACCCAGACTTCACAGATCTGATCATAGTGAGGCTCCTTTGCATCACAAATAAATTGGGAATTTGGGGGATTTTTTTTCCATTTAAACATAACAAAAAAATAATGAAACCATAATTAGGACTGTGTTTTCCAACTTCTAGCCAAAAATACTATAATTCCAGAGTAAAAGTAAATAGGAGAAACATAAATAAGAAGAATGTCTTGGGAAATCCAGGGGGTTAAGATTTCTCATTCAAAAACATTTTAAAACTGTAAATAGTATCTTGATTTTATTCCTAAAACATCTTCCTGAAAAGCTTAGTATAATGAAAGATTTTTAGATGGATCATAGAAAAATTCCTATCAAAGGTCCTGTATGGTGAACACTTTTATAAGTCTCTACCCCTTGATCTATCATTTTGGCAAAAAGACATTTTTAATACTAAGTTTGCTTAAATTTCTAAACTATAATGAATTACAATAAAATAAAAGGAATGACTCAGGCCTTTATTTCAATTTTCTAACCCTAGAACATCCAATTAAAAATAAATTAGAAACTATGGATAATGAATAATCACTAAACTGTATTCATATTTTCCTTTCCTGCTTCTATATTTTCTTTTAATATTAAGTAATTTACTTTCATTACAACTTTCTCTATCATCCCAATATTTACCAGTAAGTTGATTATTTACTGTGTATATTACAATTTAAACTATTAATTGGAAATTGCACTTTTATACCTTAGTCTATGTTGTTTCTTCAGGAAAGAAGTCATAGCTAAAGACAATCAAGCCAAAAACAAAACTTGCATTTTTCATAAAAGAATTAGAATTCAAGTTCTAAAATAATGTTAATCACACCATTTTTGTCTATTTTATTTTTGAGAATTTCACAATACAGCAATTTCAGCCATAAATTCTGAATATGTTAGCAAAACCAAAAACTCCTTTTAAATGACGAATTTGTATTCTTAGCCTGATAAAAAGAAATATACCATGTAAATTGTTTTATTTGTCCGGTTTTTGAGACAAGATGTCTCTCTGTTGCCCAACTTGAGTGCAGTGGTGTCACCATAGCTCAGCTCCTGCACTCAAGTGATCCTCCTGCCTCAGCCTCCTCAGTAGCTAGAACTACAGGTACAAGCCACAACACCCAGCTAATTTTCTTTTTATTTTTTGTAGAGACAAGATTGAGTTGTGTTTCTCAGACTATTTTCAAACTTCTGGCTTTAAGTGATCCTTCCATCACAGCCTCCGAAAGTGGTAGGATTATAGGTATGAACACAGACTCCACATGACCTTTTTATTACATATTATACCAACTTTAAATATAGTCATTGCTGCATGATGACATTTCAGTCTCCAGTGGTCCTATAAAATTATAATATTATATTTTTAGTATGTATTTTCTATGTTTAGATGCACAGATACTTACCATTGTGTTATGATTGCCTACAGTGTTCAGTCCATGTCATACGAGTTTGTGCCTAGGAGAAATAGGCCACACCATCTAGCCTAGAAGTGTAGTCGACTAAGCCATCTAGGTTTGTGTAAGTAGACTCTATGATATTTGCACAACAATGAAATCACCTAACGATACATTTCTCAAAACATATCTCTGCCATTAAGCAATTCACAACTTTATAATGTTCATTGGCCTGACGATGTCTAACTCCTCCTGCACAAGGCTCTACTTAGCAGGAAACCGGCGGAAGACATTCCTGAGAAGACTATTCTGGAATGCAAGCATCATCCTCATAGCTTAGGTTGCCAAAAATATACCAAAATGGCACATATTCTATCAGTATGTTGTTTCTTCTCTATAGATAAAACCTCTGAGGAAAATTCTTTCGGAGGTCTGACCACAAACCCTGACCCTCAAAATCCAGCAGAACCAACCAGAGCAATGCCAGAGCCGAAGGGAACAGGAAGCAAGAAAGAAGGTCCAGTCAGGTAAGAATCAGATAAAACACGTGACACGTCACAGATACGTGCTCAGCCTGCGTTAAAAGATTCAAACAGCTGTTCTGCCCTTTACTTGAATAAAAAGCAGTAAAACTACATAACACGAGGGAACTAGATCAGAGCTAAAAGATTGGCTCTCCCCGAGTTCACTGTGCCTCACTGGCCAGGCACAGCCTTTCAGCAGGCTCTCTAGGTAGCCATTGGCTAGAGGGCAAAGCATACCAACAAAAACACAGCAGTTAAGTGTCTGAGTCATCGCATCATCATAGAAACATCCTATATATTTGCTAGACATGAATTTTTAGAAAAAAGAAAAAAATGAAGAAAGATTTTTGAGTTCACAAAGAAATCGCTATTATATTTCTATAAATAATTTATTATTCCAGAAGATCAATTATGATTTCCTTTCACTGGGTAAAGAAAATGTGTTATGATAAGCAAAGATAATTATGGAAATGGGGAATCTTTATGCCATTGCAGAAATACAGTTTTATAAATACTTCCCATAAAACTATTGGAAATATTACAAAAGAGTTAGCAATTTAAATGTGAATCAGTGAGTCCACAGTAAAACCCAGCGAGGAGCCCCTTCCGTTTACCATTTCTTGGCATGGTACCATGTGCCTGCTGATTCAATGTGAGTCGCTTAACTATAGCTGCAGTGTGCTTATCATACAATGAAAGTGTATTCTTCTTCTTTAACAGACAAGAAAAGTTGTCACTTAAAAAGAAATTTGAAGTACCTATTCCTGAACCCCACTCCACCCCATCCCACCTCATCTTCTCTCTCAGTGGCACCTCCACTGTGTTAAACCAGCTGCCATCAGTACAAATGACTCTGATTACCCAGGGTTACTGAATGAACAACAGACATCAGAAGAGAGTGTCTTTTCAATAAATGCAAATTTGGCTCTATATGAATAAAAACATCAGCTCACTCTACCCCCCCCCCCAAACACACACAAAATGCTATTGACAAAAATAGAACCTGACATATTATTTAGGTGAAAAGATGTTTAAACTCTAGAGTAAGGACTAAAATTATACAAAGTGATGTCATTATTTATTTTACTTATATGACTATTGGTGTTTATGGAATGATTTTCAGTCCCGTTAGCAGGTCATCATCTTCACTCAGCAGATAAGCAAACCAAGGCAAGAAAGGTTAATTAGTTAGCCTGTAGTAATAGGGTCAGCTCAGCTAGGATTAGACTGCAAAAGACTTACATTCCTGAGGGAAAAATTTTCCTCCCTCCCACCAATACATTCGCATTTAATCAACAGCCTAAACTTTTGAACTAATTTCTCCTTCTAGCTTAATACAATTAATTTTTTGTAATAATGAGTGGTGATAGACAGGTTTTCAAAGGACTAAAGTTGAACCCATAAGTAACATTTTGGGGGATAAATTCCTCTTAACACATCTTCATTCCTTGGATGGTGTTTTTACTCTTTTGAAATGTGGAAATGGAAGCCTTTAAATTACCCAGAAAGTGAGTCAATCAGTACAACTCAAAACCACACAACTCTCTGCCTGGTTTGCCTCCCACCTGCTCTTACTTTGTCCTCTCCTAACACTCAGTTCCTCCTCGACCTTTCTACCTCTCAGCTGCAGTCACACCTGTCCTGTTTCAGTCTCCTGTGAAGTTTCCTCCTGCCACCAGCCTTGGCACACATTATTCTTTCTACTTGTTCTATTCTCTCCTCTCCTGATCACCTAATTAACTCCTACTCATTCTTCAGGTACCATTATGACCATTGCTTCCTTTGGAGACCTTTCCCTGACCTTCTTAACTGGGTCATATATCTCTGTTTTAAGATCTCTTGTGTGACACTCATCACTGCTACCATTCAGATCATCACCTGTTTAAAGTCCATCAGACTCATCCTCTGAATTGTGTCCCTCATGATAACAGGGGCCATGTCTGGTTTTGTTGATGACTGGTGTCCCCACTACCTTGCTCAATAGGGCACATGGTAAATATTCAATAAATATTTAACAAATGAGCTGATGGATAAATCCAAACATATCAAGTTTTTTCTCCAGAACTTCTAGATTTTTAAAACCATACAGTTTCTTCAGGAAAAGAGAGCAAGGTATAAGTGGCCCTCCATGGGTTTCCATTTCTACTTAGAATTTGTACTATAAGCAAACATGGCCAGAGATAGATTACCAAGACCAAATGAGAGAAAAATGTAAGGCTATCCAGTTCTAAATTTCTTATTCCTCTTCTTCTGTGATTTTTTCATTGCTGTCACTATCCTGAGCTAGCAAAATTGTTTAAATCCTGAATATTTTTGGATATATTCTTGACAGCTCTTTCTGCAGTTTAAGTAGCAAAGTGGCTTCAGAATTATTACTAGCTGTGTAGTCCCAAGTTAGTTTAAAGCTCTTGCTTTGATTTAGATGACTACTCACACCTTTTTTTCAGAATTGGGTGAAAACCAGCTTCACTAAAGGAGAAATTTGCAAGGAGCACTGGAAGTTCCAATGTCACCTTTGACTAAAATTCATGGGAAGCCTAATGTTGCAATTCCATGTAGTACTTACCAAAGCTTACTGTTTTGATCTCATGGGCAATCAACAGTATCACACATAGAAGCCTAATGACAGAGTTTATATGCATCTTTAGAAAATATTAAAGGTAAAATAACTCTTTATAGAAATTGTTATTTCACAATACATTCAATCACTAAAAATTATTTTGGAATTTTCAGTTATTTAAAATCAGCATCATTAACACTGGGCAAGGTCAGTTTTTTAAAAATCTCTTCCTCCTAGAAAAACATTAAGAATTTGATTGATTGAAGGAATTCAGTATAGATACTTAGTGAGTAACTGGTTCACACCTCGATTTTTTAAATTTGGGGAAAGTTAGGTTATTAATAAAGTTTAAAAGTTGGTTTCTTATTTTAAATGCATTTACCTTACCTTCTGGCCTAAGCCCTGGGCCAAACAGGGACTAATGTGTCTGGATTGATAAGTAGATATGGGGGAGAATGAACATTGTGGATTTTGCTGTATGTGTGTGAGAAGCACAGTGTGACACTATTGATTATACTTCTAATTTGTCATTTTTGTAAATGGACAAAGGTGACAAGAGGAACATAAGCATACAATTATAATCTGTATCAGGATTCTCCAGAGAAACAGAAGAAATAAGATGTATACAAACATAAAGAAATAAATGTACTATAAGGAATTGGCTCGTATAATTACGAATGCTGAGAAGTCTCAAGAACTGCAGTTAGCAAACTGAAAACCCAGAAGAGGCAAAGGTATAAGTTTCAGTGCAAAAGCCAGCAAGCTCAAGATCCAAAAAGATACATTTCAGTTTAAGTCTCAAGTCAGAAAAAGATCACGCCAAGCTCAAATACTTGGGTCTGTTGTCTTGGTCTACGCAAGCCTTCAACTGAATGGTTGAAGTCCATCCACACTGGGGAAGGCAATCTGCTTTACTCAGTCTACTGATTCAAATGTGAATACCATCCGAAACATCCTCAAAGACACTTCCAGAATCATGCTTGATCAACTATCTGGGCACCCTGAGGTCCAGTCAAGTCAACACATAATATTAGCCATCACACTATCTCCATTATGCACATGCACATAAAGGAATTGGATGTGTACAGCCCTGTGGGTGTTTTCTTACTTTTTTTTTTTTTTTTTTTTTGGGTGAGTGTCTTCTCAACTATTTCACAATCTCCTTGCCTCACTAAACCCACCCTTACCCAAAACTCTTTAACAGAGAACCTTCATACTCTTGGGCCTACAGGATAATAATCTTCTTCATCCTGCCACAGAACAGACAAAACTGAGTACCCTGTTCATACAGTGTTTCCTTGTGCCCTTGTCTCAAACATTGTTTTGTAAAAGTAAAAGAATATGAGTATGTATTTAAGCATATTATGTCTATTGACTTACTTATATAAATACAAAAAGAAGTGAGTAAAGTTTACATTAATATTATAAAGACATAAATTTCATAAAGCAGCAATCAATTTTGTGATTTTTTAACCAACCCTCAATAAGATTCTAAGTACAACCTAACACTGATTTTCTATCTGAAGTAATGATAGTTATCGCAAATATGTATCAGCCCAGGAAGAGATTTTTTTTTCAAGATATCCAAGTATTACATGTTCACATTTTTTACTAGAATCCATTTATGTTATAGGGGTAAGGGGACACTTGCCCTTTCCCCTGAAAGCTACTAAGAGGGCTGATTAACAAGAGAAAGATTTATTTACCATGCGCATAGAGAGAATCACAGAGTAATTACCCCCTATCCCAGTGAAGTTCAGATATTTTGGATACTTGTCTTTTTGGAGGGGAGAGGAAAGGAAGAGTACAGAGAATTCTGCTCAGGGGTGACAAATGGTGCTATGGAGGACAAATGGATGGAAGAGACCGGTTGAATTGTAAATGATTCTCCTTGCAAATTAAATTAACCCGAAGGACAGGTAGTATATGTAAATGATTTGGGCCAGGTCTGGCCGAATTCTTGATCAGTTTTGTTTTTATTTTAGTTTTGTTTTTTTTTTTTCTTTTTCTGCAAAGGGAGAAGCAGCAAAGTCAATTGTCCTTTGACCTTTTGATCAGCTCAGTTTGGTTTATGCAGATAGAGGGAACGCCCCTTCCAATGCTTTTATGATCTCAAAGGACCTGTAATTCAAAATATTCTTTATACCAAGGAGTCACATTTGGGGTGAAGTTTCATGAGCTTCTTTAACATTAAGCTAGCTTTTTTCTCATTTTCTTTTTTTATCCTCACAGAACATTTCCTAAATTATCCGTCCAGGGAAGAAAAGAATTTTGCAAATCTTCCCCCCCCCACCCCCCCATCCCCCGAAGCAGCCAATTAATTATCTTGTCAAATGAATCTTTTAGCTCCTGAAAGACAGGGGTTTCACCCTGTGAAGTCCCATTGATGTCATTTGTCCATTACCAAGAAAATGGCCTGTTTCCGGCATTCTATCTCAGCACA